GTGTGTGTGATGATATGAGTAATTTGTGCGTGTGTGCTATCTGCCTCTCTCTGCCGTTGCTTTCTTCTGACTCTCTTGTGGCGCACAGCTGCTCTGCAATTATAGACGCTGCCAAACACACTCACACGCCGTGCTGCACACGCTGTGGAGCGGCGTGAATGCTGAGGACGCACGTACGTACAGGATTTTTCTGTGGCCCTAGCGAGGAGGGATGACGGAGGATCGTGATTGTTTTGTTGCCGTGCTGCGAGCGTGATTTTCTTCTCGTGCAGCAGTTGACTAACGTGGTGCGTCATTGAGGGTGCCTGGGATAAGTGCGTATGGATTCTTGCCCAGCAGCTGCACGTGCCGACGTGTTCCTCCCGCTGTTCATACAGAGACGGAGGATTCTCCGGCTGTGCGGGGCGATGTGCGGTGGATGTTGCGGGGAGAGACTACAGTAAAACGACTGGCGGCAGCGTGTGTGGGCGTTTCTCGGTGTGTGCTGACGCGTGGCAGAAGTACCCGCCGTGGCTGCTGCTGCTGCCGGTGCTGGTGGTGGCAGTTGCTGTGTGTTCCCGGTGCACTGTTCTTCCTTCTCGTTCAGTGTGTCTGTGTGCGTGAGTTGTTGTTGTTGGGAATGACTGCGGCGGGGATGATGATGCCACTCATTGTGGAGGGGCGGCCGTGCTCACTGTTTCATCCCTTTTTATTGGCCTGTTTTTCTTTATTTTTTTCACGCTAGGAAGGAAAGAAGTTAATACCAAGCGCTAATCGCTGCTGTGAAATTTGAAGGCACTGAAAGGACCAACAGCACACACACACACACATATTTATATGCTCTCACGTGTTGCTGCAGTGAAGGCACCCCGCACACACAACCGTCGCCGCGTGACCGGATCCAGCGGAAGGAGGAGGGAATGAGGAGCGAGTGAGCCGCAGAGGCCCAACATGTCCCGGCGTGTGTTTACTTCCGCGGTGCTCCTTCTCTTCGTAATGATTCGCTGCGGCACTGGTGGAGGTGCGACCGCTGATGAAACGGCACCGAATGAACCAAAGTTTCAATGGGAGGTCATCACTGACGATGGTGTAACTGTGGACTCGTTGGGTGTTCCCGGCCTTCTAAAAGTTGGGAGTGGCGTATTTGCCGTTGTCGAGGCGCAGTGCAAAAAGAACGGTGAAAACGACAGTTTTACTAGCATTGCATCCCAACTTCTCACGATGGATAACGGTAAAGAACCGGAGGAGGTGCTGAAGGATGCCAAGGTGACACAAGTTCTGGAGAAAGTGACTTCCTCAGACGCCGAAGAAGAGAGTAGACGTGAGCCGACCAACAGCATTTGTGAATGGAAGTGATATTTACATGCTTGTTGGAAAATACTGCCGTGAAGACGCTGCTACCTGTAAGGCTACGAGCGAGAAGTTCAAATCGGGATTATTGCTGGTGAAGGGTCACGTCGGTGGCGAAACCGGCAACAATCAAATCCATTGGAAGGAAACCGACGGTCTACCGCGCATTCTGTTGGCGACCAACACAAATCCTTGGAGCGGCTGATTGGCGGCGGTGTCACCAGTTGTCACCGTGTCATTTGTTTTGGCTGTGGCGATTGCTTTTGTTGTTGGGATTCCTGCATTTTCAGCGGCCGCGTTCTCCGTGACTTCTGATGCGTCTTCAGGATCGGGAGTCGTACTGAGCTGTGCGATTCTTTCACTGGAAGGTTGTCTCAAGCCATTTTTGGCCGGATTGCTTTCTGAGCCATCGTCAGACTGCAGGGCCGTAGCTGCTGTGGGGCTGCCTTTACTGTCACCATCTATTGCCGTAGCACTCGTGCTGGCGGCTGTCGTGAGTGGCGGCTGTAGTTTTCCCT